CTAGCTGTACTGGGGCTTCCTTACATGTTACTACCTCTTTCTCCCTTACTGCCTTTAGGATTCTCTGTTTGTTTTTGATATTTGCCATTTTAATTATGATGTTTCTTGGAGTGGGCCTCATTCAATTCCCCTTAAATGGGACCCTCTGTGCTTCCTAGACTTGTGTGACTTTTTCTCTCCTCCAATTAGGGAAATTTTCCATCACTACTTTTTCAAACAGGTTCTCTATCCCTTCCTCCTCTTCTTATTCTGGTATCCCTATTATATGGATATTATTATGTTTCAGGTTGTCCTGCATTTCCCTAAACACCTCTTTATTCTTTTTGAGTCTTTTTTCATTTTCTTGCTCTTTCTGGGAGCTTTTTTCTACCTTGTCCTCCAACTTGCTGATTCGATCCTCTGCTTCATCTAGCCTGCTTTTGATTCTTTCTACTGTGTTCTTCAATTCAGAAATTGTATTCATTTCCTCTTATCTCTTATTGATAGTTTCTATGTCCTTTTTCATGCTGATATAGTTTGCAGTAAGTTCCTTGTAGTTTCCCTGAGTTTCGTATAATTCTCTCTGAGCTCACTGAGCTCATTGAGCTTCCTTAGAACCGTTGTTTGGAACTCAATATCTGATAGTTTACTTGCCTCTATTTCATTTATTTGTCTTTCTGGGGACTCCTCCTTTCCCTTTGACTGAGGGGTGTTTCTTTGTCTTCCTATTACCTGTGAGACTTTTTTTGTTTTTTGCTTCTGTTTCTTAAATTGATCTCTCTTGATTTCCTGACTTTATGGTGTGATCTTCTATGGTAGGAAACCACTGGGGGGTTTTTTCTGGTTCTGCCAGATGGTGTGATGGCGTCAGATGTTTACCCTGTCTGACCTTAGGCAGTCTGTTTGAGACTTCCAGGAATCCACTGTCTGTGGCTGTCTCCTTCAGCTATTACTCTAGCAATTGGGCATCATTCTTTAAACCAAAAGGTCACCGGTTCAATTTCTGGTCAGGGTACATGCCTGGGTTGTGGGTTTGGTCCTCAGGGCATGTGCCAGGGCAACTTATCCATGTTTCTCACATCAAATATTCTCTGCCTCTATTCTTCCCTTCCCTTCGCTCTAGAATCAATAAAAGAAAAAAAATTTAAATAACATAATAGTGAAGAGACAGTACTTTTCCAGTGAGATCAATTAGTTCAACTCATAAAAATATATATATTTTGGCTGCCTTCATATTCATTCAGTGTATTATGTACTGTGGGTAAAATAGTAAGAAAAAAACCTAGTCCTTGTTTCAAGGAGCTTATTATACTCATGTTGAGAAGAAAGGTTTTCCCATATCATCAAGTGTCATGAGACAGATGGGTGGAGATTTGGGTAGAGACTCTCAAAAGAAAGGAGATGGATCTCTATTTAAGGGCTGGAGAAAGTAAGACATGCAAAAGAAAAAGGACTAGCTATGCACAAAGTCAAGAAAATACAATCGATAATGAACAAAGAAAGTAGACAAGCAGATTCATGCATGATTTGGATGGTACAGTTAACAGACAAAGGCATTTAAATAATTCTAAAATCTTTAAGTGTAAGAAAAGATGGTCATTGGAGATGAATGAAATAGAGAATAGAAATACATTATAAAATATTTTAAAATCAAATTGACATTTTAGACCTGAAACTATAATATTGAAAAACAAGATTTTGGTGGATGAATTTAAAAACTGGTTGGTCTCAGCAGAACACAAGAGAAGTAAGCTGGCATATAGATCAACAGAAAACACCCAGATTGAAGCACAGAAAGAGAAAAGAAGATAATATGACACATAAGATCGTAAGAGATGGACACACAAAAGATCTAACTTATATATAAGTGAAATCCTGGAAATAAACAAAGAGCAAGATTGCCCATTGCCAGTAAAACATATAAGTAAATTATGATATATTTTTCTAATGACAAGCTATACAACAATTAGAACACCTACAACTACATGCAACGTTATATGTGAATGTCACAAACAGAGGTTGAGTTTAAATAAAACACAGACAAAAATGAATACATGTGGTATGATTCCATTTAGATTCAAATTACAAGAACAGGTAAAACTATTCTTTGAGAAGTCAGGATTGTGGTAACCTTTGGGAGGTGATAGTGACTGGAATGGAGCACAATGTGGTACTTTAGGGTCTGCAACTATTCTGTTTCTTGAGCTGGATATAGGTTGTATTCATGCATCCTGTTTTTGAAAATTTATTGAACTAGACTTTTATGATTGTTATATTATCTTGTATGGATGTTATTTTTTAACAAAACAAATTTTTAAAGGATTTATAGGCTTACAGAAAGTTCAGGTTTTAAAAAATTTCTTAGCTAGCATTCTAATTCTCCACCCCTCACATTTCACTGTTAAGATTACTAATATTTTATTAGCTATTAAATAATTTATTGGCACAAGAGATTAGAACTCAAATAATGGCTACATATACAAGGCCTGTCCTGAAGGTATACTGCCATGCAATATGAAAAATAGAGACATTTATTGAAAAAAGATACAAGAAACATTGTATGTAGGACAATGATGCTTCAGTCCCCTCCCAAATAGGTACCTTGGGACTTCACATAGTTTTCCATCAGCTTCCCAGTTGTATTTTCCTGAATCTTATCAATGGTGGGAAATCTCTTCCCTTTCAAAGGTGATTTTAGTTTTGGGAAAAGCCAGAAGTCACAGGGCACCAAATGTAGGTTGTAGGGGTCTGAGTCACCTGGGTGATTTGATTTTTCATCAAAAAACTCTGCACGAGACATGATGCATGAGCGGATGCATTGTTGTGATGAAGCTGCCAATCACCAGTTGCCCGTAGCAGCCTCCTGAGTCATCCAAACAGTTTCTACAGAGGAATGTTCAATCTTAATGCAAAATTTGATGCAAAAGAATGTTCACTCTTAACACAAAATTTGATGCAGATTCATTGTTGTACTCACTGAATCATTTTTAATGTGATGGCCACACAGTACACGTGCTGATTGAATGCCATCTGCCACCCCCACTGATTAATACAGTGAAGTCAACATCGTTCACTCATGCGCATTCCAGTCCCCTCTCCCTGGCTGCCAAGTTACATTGATGTCACATAAACTGTTCTTATTATATTAGCAATGACTGGAGTTTTTCCAGACAGACCTGTGTGTGTGTGTGTGTGTGTGTGTCTGTGTGTGTCTGTATGTGTACAATAGGTGGTGTGTGCGTGTGTATATTTGTATATATCTATGTATATATGTATATCGTATATGTATATTTGTATATATTTGTGTATATATATATTTATTTGCCTGAAAGATATATATATATATTAAAGACGTTGTCATTCACTGTGTTGTACCATTTTAGAATAAGATAGAAAATACTTCTGTGATAATATATAACTCAAGATACAGACTCAAATGGACAAAATGTTTTCATTTATGTTGTTAAATATCTTTCTTGTAAAATTCTATCTCATATGATAGCACTTAATCATGTTGACAGAGTTTGATGTTTCTCTCCTGCCTTATTCAGAGATTGGATGCCTGTACTTTAAGCTAAACTAAGAATTTTTAAACCACAAATTAAATATATACTAAATATAATGAACATCATAGTTTGAGTGAGCTATAGGTCTCTAACTCACTTGGACGTATGTCATACATCATTATAACCCTCTTTCTAGTAAAATTGTGATTCTTGGCAAATGAGTTAAGAAGTTCTATTTGGAGATTAAAAATACTCTTAGAGAAAACAGAGTATTCTATGCCAGCTTCTGGGATTATATAATTTCTTAAAAGTAGAAGAATTACTAGGAATTATATGGCAATGATAATTCAAAGTACCACATCACTGCGGTCCCCCTGACATGCTTACAACAGGGAGTGAGTAAGTTAGGGAAAGAAGGGATGGGGGAAAGGAGAAAAAGAGGGAGAGAAACAGGAAAGAAGGAAATGATACACTCTTGGAAATACAGTTATGATTTCTCCTGAGCGGTCACAAAACCAAGAAAGAATTTGGCTGTGTGTTTAAGAAAGCCTGGTTTCAGCTCTTAAAGGACAGAACCTAGTTGGTCATGTGTGAGCACGGCAGCCACTAGGGCAGTGGTTCTCAAACTTCAGCCTGCAGCAGACCACTAGGTCTTGTTCATCCTGGATTGCATGCTCCGTCTCCAGAGTGTCTGTTTCCATAGCTCTGTTGCTGGGCCTTTCAGTTTGCACTCCTGTCAAGTTCCCAGGGGCGCTGATGCTGCTGATGTGGGACCAGTGTTTGAGAACTGCCACATTAGAGCTGCTTCAGCTTCAGCTGCTGCCAAACTTATGTCATAAAATTGGCTCTCTGGTTTGTTTCCCTCTCTTGAGGATGTGTTCATTGATTTTAGAGAGAGAGAAACAGAGACAGAAAGGGAAACATCAGTGTGAAAGAGAAACATCGATTGGTTGCCTTTTGTATACACCTGAACCAAGAATTGAACCCTCAGCCTTTTGTTGTACAGTACAACACCTGAGCCACCTGGCCAAGGCTGAGTCTCTTTCTAATTTTGCTTTTGATTTATCCAATAAAGCAGAATCCATAAACAACAATACAGGGGATAGGCTCAGCATAAATGCATGACAGAGATTGTTAACAAAGAAAAGGCCCTGAGACTCCCTCACAAAATTTTTGCCAGAAACTATGTACCCAGAATAAAAATTTTTACTATCAAGTGATAATAATTACTTTCCAAAATGTGGAGAGAAAAACAACCCTGCCAATAACATGCTGCAACTATGTATGTATGGTCTGTGCTCAAAATAATGGATTTCTTTTTCTCTAGGCATATATTGAAATGGGTTATGTTACCAATCAAGGCTCGCAGATGTAGAATGGTTCACACTAGTGGTTTGCCTGTATTAGATGTAAAACACCTGCTTTTCAAAGACATATTAATGTTAATCCTAGATGTTTTAAAAACAAACAACGTATGTGTGTCAATGTAATAATATTTATTTCATTCCTTTGTAGGACTGCATCTAAACATGTAAACAAGGACCTTGGTAATCTGGAGGAAAATAAAAAGTTAGAAGAAAACAATCACAAAACAGAAGCCTAAGAGACAAGCTGTTTTAGTTGTTGTCCAGGTGAGTAGGCTGTGTGAGGCTTATAGAAATAATTCCCAAAAAAGTATTAAACATCCTATGAGATGCAAGGAAAAGCCTTGACATTAACATGCTTCATAATTGAGGCTTTTAAAACAGGGAGTTTTTGAAAAACAAACTTTGATAACTCAGGTGTTCTCAGAAGAATGTAATCTCAACCATTTCCCTATCCAAACAGATAAGTATTATCCTCTGAATAATTAAAATGAATTTTGAGATTTTAACATTTAATTAGCATTTTACATTCTCTTGGCTGCACAGATTTTGCTGAGTTCAAAGAAGCATACTTTTATAAATTAATATTTTGGTTGGATGAGTGCTGATTCTAATACTTTAAATTTATTTTTAAAAGCAATTATGAAAATAATTTTAAATATAAAAATCTTAATCCAACTATTTAAAATACTTAAAAATGTCAGAGTATTTATACAGCCATCTCCCAAATCATTTTAATGAAAGTACTAACAAATTTGTGTGTATACACACACACACACTTTTGCAGATAGTGTGTATATTATATACATGTATGTGTGTGCATGCATCTGTGTACATGTACATGCATGTATATGTGTAATGCATATATGTTACATGTATTACATATATTTACATGGAATAACTATATGAGTGTGATTTTTTTATTTGTTTAAAGATTTCATTTATTTATTTTTAGAAAGAGGAAAGGAAGGAGAAAGAGAGGGACAGATACATCAATGTGTGGCTGCCTCTCACGGCCCCCACTGGGGACCTGGCCCCCAACCCAGGCATGTGCCCTGAATGGGAATCGAACCAGCCACCCTTTGGTTCTCAGCCCAGGGCTCAGTCCACTGACCCACACCAGCCAGGATAGAGTGCGGGTTTTTTTTAAGAGACGTCATTTGGACAAATCATTCTGTGTATCCCTGAGAGAGAATAACTGTTACTATAGATTACTCATCTGAAGTTAAAATCCCAAACAATCACTTTAAAACTTTGGTTCATTATACATAAGCAATAGTCACAATTTGAGTACGTCGCCCAGATTAATCCCACAGAGAACGTATGGGGGGCATGGGAAAAAGTTGTAATTGGAAGGATGCACACAGGAAAGAAAAACAAAATAGTTTAAATAAGACACTTTCAAAATCTGAAAACCAGGATATCAAACCGATTGGGAGAAAGAAGTGAGAACTGGATTCTTTCCCCAACTGAACCTTTCATTAGAAGCCAGGTAGGCAGCATTTCTCCCTGTTTCTTTTTTCCCCTGCTTTTCTAGGGTTCATTCTTCAATCTTTCATAAATATAGATTTTTACCTTCTGTTAATTTCAAAATTGGATAGAGTAAATGCTTAAAGGAAAATTGAGCTTGACAACAAAGCCCACAAAAGATTGAGATTTGAGGGGATATGTGAATTTTTAACCTGAAGAGAACAGAATGGAATATTTTCCTGAAAAACTTTAAAATCTTCATATAAATTAAGCAATTTCGATAAAAATAAAGACTCTGAAAATTCCAAAACATTATTTGCAGAAGGGCCATAGCATGCTTGGGATTCCATATAGGTTCAGGGACAATGGAGTTTTATGAAAGTCCCCTATAAAGTAATTCCTGTCACTTTACATACAAAGCATCTGTTGATGGTGAAAAGTGATTGCTATGGTAACTTACTAAATTATGTTTTTTTCATTATTTCAGAGAAAAAAACTATATAGGCCAAATGAAGCATGAACGTGGATTGTATTTAAGACATATACAAAGACACTGACAGCAATTCATGGTTCAAATATTAAGCAGTTCATTCTACCAAGCTGTCACAGGAATTTAGAGAATTATCTCAAGTCAAACAATGAAATGAAATTGCAAACAATAACAAGTTTTGGCAGCCATGATGATAGGTCACATGTTTTATTTGGTTTGATTTTTTTTTTCTGTAAATGTCTGCACTGAGGATTTTCTTTGGGTTTGCCTTTTCTGTAAATTTTTTACGTAGCTATTTTTATACACTGTAAGCTTTGTTCTGGGAGTTGCTGTTAATCTGATGTATAATGTAATGTTTTTATTTCAATTGTTTATATGGATAATCTGAGCAGGTACATTTCTGATTCTGATTGCTATCAGTAATGCCCTCAAACTTTTTCACAAGCACCCAGATCCCAAAGGTGGCAGCTTGTGAAGACTGAGGACACAAACATTGCCCGATTCCAAAACTGTGATTTTAAAGGGGGAGGCAGAGAGTCGGGTTGATAAGCAGCAGATGAGCTGATTCTGTAAATGCACCACCCACTGACTCTCAGAAGCAAATCACACATACAAATAGACACACATATGTAATGATGGTACTCCCACACTGACTGTTTTGCCTGTACTGAAAAAAGAAATAACAGAATTTGGGTAACACTTACCTTTAGAGACACCTGCTAGTAAATTATTTCCTGTCAAAAGACAAAAAAAAAACAACGTGTGAGAGACAGTTTGGAAAAACCACAGATTACATTTCCACTATCATAGGTCACAATGTAAATCACTGTATTTAAAAATTGTTGTTAAATCCTTTGGGTTATCCACTGCCTTAAAATTATACCTATTTCCTTTTTAAAAAGATATCAGTCAGAATTGGAGATTTTTAACAGTGGTCATTATCAAAGCTGTGTTATTTTCCACAGAATATAGAATATATATATATTTTTTTCGTGTGTGTTTTTGTTAACTACGCTACAGATATTGAATGCACTTGAGATAATTTAGTGTTTTTAACTGATACATAATTTATCAAGCAGTACATAAAAGTGTAATAATAAAATGTCTATGTATCTTTAGTTACATTCAAATTTGTAACTTTATAAACGTGTTTTATGCTTGAGGAACTTTTTAGAGTGGTAGTATAAATGGAAACTTTTTGAAGTAGACTGGATATGGGCCAATAGCTACTTGTGAATAGACTTTTAAACTTTGTTCTTTCAAGCAGAAGCCTGGATTCTGAGAGAATACTGCACAGACATTTTTGTCCCAGGATTTACAAAACTTTATAAAAAAAGAAAATGAACATCAGATTTCCAGGTATAAAACTGTGTTCTTGGGGAGGAAGAAGAAAACTGGTATTTGTTTTTTAGAATGTTGGAATAAAAATTATGAAGGCAATGAAAAATAAATTGAAGATTAAAGTGAGAGGGAGATTAGGAATAATATTTTGCCACTTCATTATTTAGAAACACATGTTATTGTACATTTGTAAACCATATACTGTCTGGGCAATAGTGACTCCGTTTAATAAAAGCTTCCTGTAGTGGATTGGTATGGACTAAATACATATAATATCCTATTAGACTCGAAGCTGTGTACAATATTATGGGGAAAAAGAAAATACGTCATTTTGCCTCTAAACTTTGATTTACTGAAGTTTTATTTGGCAGGAAAAAATTGAATCTTGGTCAATATTTAAACCAAAGTGAAAGGGGAAAAACCAAAGTTATTTGTTTTGCATGGCTAAGCCATTCCGTTATCTCTGTAAATACTGTGATTTCTCTTTCTTCTTTTCTTTTTAGAATTTTGTTAAAGAAATTCTAAAAATTTAAACACCTGCTTTCCATAATAAACCATGAACACTAAAATGAAATCACTTCCATATAAATACTTTTTCTTTTGGTGCGAGAGATCAAAGGGTCAAAGTCTAACTCCTAAGCTATATTTGCAGAAAGAAGCAATGTGACAATAGAAAGAGAGGGTTATACTATAATTATTTATTGCTTTTACTTACTATGATTAACTAAGTCCAAAAACAGCACTTGTAACCTAGAGGGCAGAACATCCAAAACTCAGACCTCGGGGTAGGAAGCAGAAGGTTGCCGGGCAGAGGAGGCAGCGTGATAACTATTGAATCAGTGCCTGGATGAAAAGGAAAGCTGCTTTGTGTAACAGCCGTGGCAGAGCAGTGCATGGGAAGGAAGATCGTGCACTGTCCTCCGCTTCTGCGGTGGCTTCTCTTCAATTTCATTCTTTGGCAACAAGAGACAGGTTTTGCCAGTCCAAGTTTCACTTCCAATCTTTGGTTACAGAAATTATATGTGGAAATGGATTAACATACCCGTCTATGCCTAAAAGATAATAAAACTGAAATATGTCTTCACATATCTCTCACAGGTGTCTGCCTCTTGCCTAAACTAGGATGTTTATGTATAGAAAGTATTTGTCTTTATTAAAGAGTAGAAAACTCATTGTGACTCTTCATCTCTCTGGAGACGGAATGCAGCAAAATAAAACTGTTCATGTCTTCGTATAATGCCACGTTAATCAGTCCTAGATTTCACCCATCATCGGCTCTGTGATGTGTGTGTCTCTGTCTTCAGTGATAGGATCATGCCTATTGTGGGTGTCTCGTGTGGCTGTTCTAGGAACTGAATTAAGAGGACATATCCTATTTCTCTGCCACCGTTAACATACCATTCAATTTACAATTTGGAATTACGTAGGCATGAGCTTTCATAGACATGCTTTACCTTTAAAATAAGGTGAAGTCAGCTGTGTGCATCAGTATTTACTGAGCCCATACTATGTGTTAGGGCCAGCCATACATTATCTTATTTTATCATTAATAGTTGTAAATAGTATTAAATATATCCCCTTATTTTATAGCTGAAAACTAAGGTGTTAGAGAGGCTTCACACTCCCACATGCATTTAGCTTCTAAGTAGGAAAGCCAGGTAGCAAATCAGATGGGATTCTAAAGGCCCTGTTTGCCCCGAACTGCTATAGTTTCCAAATTTCTTTAATCAAGAAATCCTCCTTTGTATAACACCTAACGTTGGGAAATGCTGATACATGAACTGGTTACACCATCTACAAAGGACCATTCTAAGATGCTCAGATCATAGAATATGACAATATTATATAATTTGCCAGCTGTATTGGGATGGTTAGATACTTTACTAGACATATATAATTGCATATGTATTTAAAACACATGTTTAAAACGATGTGTATATATGTATGTGACACATTTTAAACACAC